CCAAAGAAAAGGTCAATCTCCTGTTGCTGTCTTAAATGTCTCCTCTGCAGGCACCAGCCCTGTCTTGCCCTTCGTGTCCCTATGAGCTGGCGCAAGGCATCTCTGTCATCCACCCCTGTCTGGATTGGCTGGGTTATCTGTCTGGATTCATTCACGGCTGACATGGAGGATGAGGAGAAAGCACGCCTGGTTGCCCTACTCAAGCGCTCGTCACCCTTGAGAAGCTCACCGGCAAACTCAATTGGCTTTCTGGTCTGGTACGTGCTTTCAGCCCTAGTCTTACGCCTCTGTACACGCTGTTTCCTGTATTTTCAGGAGGACTGTCGGGTGTCTGCCCATATCAATCATATTCCCAAGATTTTGAATGACCTGGCCGATAGGCTTAGCCGCTCGGTTGATCCGCCTTCACTGGGCTTTCTGCCTGACCAGTCTCGCTCCCCGCCCTGGACTTCTCTAGCCTCTTTGCCGCTCATTCAAGTATATCCGCCTGGCCTGGATATACATCCCCTGTTTGGTGCATTGTCCTGAGTGGCTATTTGGCTGCGTCTGTCTTTTTGCGGGTCAATCCACTGCGCTGTCTTGAGTCGCGTGTTGGCCGGTGATGCAGCCTGCCTTTCCTGCCTGTAGTTCCGTAGTTCTGCAGGTTCTGTCATTCCCTGCCTGGGTCTGACTGACAGTGGCTAACCTGCCACTGTCTGTTTTCTGCCACCGGACTCATACAGCGCAAGGAGAAAGGGAGTGCTGCTTTCTGCTGCTGTTCTGTTTTTCCTGTCTAAGCTGACTTAACGAACTAGTCTGCCTGCCAAATGATTCTGTATGTGTGTCTGTGTGTTTGGCTGATGCTGCAGGTAATCCGTCTGTGCCCGCCTGCAGCCATCAGCCTCAAGTTCCAGTCAGCTTCTGTGTTTCGAACTCCCACCTGCCACCCCCTGTCACCGCCTGGGCTTTGGCCTTTCTGTCTCTGGTTTGCCCTTCGCGCTCTGTTGCTGGCCTTGTCCTTTCTGCCTGCCGTGCACGCCTGGACTTCTGCCTTTGGACTTTCTTGCGTTGGCCTGGAGCTTTGCTCCTCTGCCTGCGCTGCGGTCTGCATCTCTGTCCTGTCATGTTTGCTCATGTTGGGCCGGCGATGCAGCCTGCCTTTCCTGCCTGTAGTTCCGTAGTTCTGCAGGTTCTGTCATTCCCTGCCTAACCTGCCACTGTCTTTTTTCTGCCGCTGGACTCATACACCACAAGGAGAAAGAGCGCTGCTTTCTGCTGCTGTTCTGTTTTTCCTGTCATTGAAACCCTAAGCTGACGTAACGGACTAGTCTGCCTGCCAACCTTGACGGTTTAGAGCGGGTTAAGGGTTTGCAGTAAGCGGTGGAAGTGGGCGTGCGCACCCTTCTGGCATCAGAAGCGAGGTGGCAGCAAGCTGGACGCGCAAGGTCTGGTGAGGGCAGCGTACTTGGTTAGTGCGCGCGCGGCGCCAGACAGCGCTTCGCGCTTGATGGGCAGGCGCCCCTGCACGACAGATGTCTACTTTGGCCTCACTCGACATGCGCTGGCGTTCTGCCAAATGAAAAGAACATCAGGCAGAAGTTCCCTGCAGGCATCGTCGAATGGGACGGTACCAGGTTTCCAGTTCTGCTGTGTTCTTTCCACTCCCGAATTGGGACACCAAGGTCTCAGCTCCAGGCCCTCCGGAAACGTATGCTGAGGTGTTGCCGATCATCAAGAGTAAGATGGCCAAGAAGAAGCGCCTCGCAGCCTCAGACTGCGGAACTGCTTTGAAAAAAACATGGCAAGGGTTGGGGCTCGAAGCAGCCGTTGCCATGGCAAAGCCAAGTACACACCCGTCGCGAAGCTGTCCACAGCCAAGCTTGCGCCTCAAATTTTTCAAGCCATCACAGCAAAAAAACGCACGATCCAGACGAGTCGTGCTGTCAAGATCATTGATGGAGATCAAAAGTGCGAGAGCTTAGCCAACATGATGAAGTTCCAGCTACGACGTGTCAAAAGGGCAACAAGCATCATGTTGACGGTCTTTCGGTCGTGTTCTTGAGCAGTAATCCTGCCTTCTCAGATGTCCCAGCAAGCAAGTATCGACAAGAAATGCAGAACACCTGCTCTCCTTGAGCTTACGTGTCCACGGCATGGTTGCATTTGCAAGACATGCAGCAAGAGCCTGCGTCCTGATGGGACTTGAGGTGATGCAAGGTCTCAGAAGAAACAGCTTCTCTTGGCTGCTCTTGGCATGCTACTCACGCATACCCATTTATGATAGTAATCTATTTTGATAAACCCCGTTCTTCTTCAAACGCATCCGCAGTAGTAGGTGATGCGCCCTGGGTCTAGCCCCAGCCACGGCGACCTCTCATGTCTTGCTGTTTGTGTCTCCAGCATCTACAGTGGCGGCGGCGCTCGCTTCACAGACTGCATCACATTCAGCTACACCACAGACTTCTAGACAGTCGCTCTGGGTCTCAGCGTATTTCTGGCATTTGCTGCAAGAGCTCAATGGTTCGTCGAAGGAACCTAAATGCCACGCGCGGGGTCAAGTAGGTGACCAAGTGGTCCGCGAACCACATTGTAATTTTCAAAGCAATAAGCAGCGGCCTGCGACGACATCTTCTAGTTGAGTAGACTCTAGTAGACATTAGGCGGAACTATTGCTTCTTCCTTGATGTTCAATCCTAGACTCAAGCCGTTGCAGAACGTGCCCAAATCCTTCACAATGAAGCTATTGCCCAATTGGAAGGTCAGGCGCATGATGTGGTTCAGGCTACATTTCAGGAAGCTTCGGTTCTGTTGAGCAACTTCGGCGCGTGCTTCAGGTTTCAGAAGCCAAGCGTCAAGAGCTGATTGTTCTTGGGAGGGTTCTTGAGTAACAGCTTAAGGAGTGCAGAATTGAGCTTACCAAAGCTGAAGCTGAGTTGAGTGCAGTTCGCTTTCAATTGTCCCAAGCAACGATTGAAGCGCAGGTTGAAGACCGCGAAAGCCACCGGCTCCGACAGGCTGCGACCAACGCCACGGATGCCGTTAGTCACCCAAAATCTTCTGAAGTCAATGTAGCTTCCGCTTCTGGATATGGTGTTTCCTCGGGGAGTTCGGTGCCTCAGCCCACTTCCCCGGTTTCAGACCCCAGAGTGGATCAGCTCCTTGAAGCGGTGCAGCAATTCGCTTCTCGTCTTGAGCAACCTAATGGCACGGATCAAGGGGGATTCAAAGCGGGGAAGAAGATCTTGAAGAGCTTAAGGAGAAGCAGACTGTGGATAATCGTGAAGCTTGATCCTGTTCCTGACAGCGCAGCCGGTTGTCGCACGTGGCGAAACGCGAGGGTTTTCCTGCCTTTCTTGCGCGCCCGCAAGTGGCCCACAAGCGCACGGAATCTCCTTTTCACTTGTCTGTTGAAGTGTGTAAGTTTTGGCCTGTTCCTGTTCTGGAGGAGATTTGTTGGAGAAGTACTTATTTCTCAGTCATCTCGAATTCGAAGGAACAAACGTCAAGCTTAGCTACTGGACATAGATTCTGTCTGTTCAGAATCATCATCTCCCGAAGATCACATCTTGTCTTGATTTTGTTCAGCATCCAGCCTGGGATTGTTGCTACGCGGGATGGCGTTCCAAAAAGGAATGTCGAACGTATTGATGAAAGATTCCATGACGAAATCTGCCTGTTCGAACTCGGTGCCAAAAAAGCTGAGAGCGTCGTGGGCTTGGGCCCACAGCTCTCTTTTGCTGAGACCCATGAGCTTCAATCACAAGGCGTTGGCCCCATGTGCTGCTGTTATGGATGGGCAATCAGTTCCAACATGTTGGCGGAACTAAAGGGCTGCAGCCCAATCACGGACACCGCAATCCAAGATTTCAGGGATTGGGTCCAAGGTAGCGTCACTGGGAGGATCTCGTGTGTAGTGCATTTTGACTACGTGAGAAACTCGAAAGGCGAAAAGCTAGGCAGCGTTCGCGACATGTGTGGCAAGGCGTACGCCCGAACGACAAGTTACGTCGCAGAAAAAGCCAAGCGAGCACGCGCTACTTCGCGGCGTGAGCGGACGATTTCATCACGCAACTCAGGATCCGGGCCATTCTGCCCCCCACGCGCCTGAATCAGCGGCGCGACGCTGTTCAATGGCATTTGTGATTTGTTGCAGGATTGGGGGGCTTGGAAAATCCGCAGCTTGGACTTCTGTGACTAAGCAAATGAAGTCGATGCATGCATTGCATTCTCGCGCTGCCCATCTTGTATCTGTGGCAATTGAATGCGCTGCAGGGTTCCGCCTGCGTAGTGAATTTCCCAGTTTGTTCTTTGCTGAGGCAGATTTGCTTAAGAACCCAGACAGATACCTGCCAAACACAACTCTTGAGGAGTTCTTGGTGCTCCAAGTGAGGCCGGCGGCCCATTCAATGAAATTCTCTGTCCAGGAAAGGTTTCTATGAACTCGTCCGAAGAAATTCATGGACTCATCCTCGGGAGTGAGTCCCATGGTGTAGGCTGCTGTCCATACGACTCTGCCTGTGGGCAAAATGCCCACCGCGCCCTTCCTTCGGGCCCGAACAATGTGCTCCCTTCGCCTTGAAAAAATACACGCAGGCATCCATACTTGGAACACTGCGGTTGTGAGCGGAGACAAAATCTTCCAACGCAGGAACTCTTGCTGCAGTCAAACTCTGAGCAAAATTACGGAAGGTGAGACTGTTCATGCTTCTGCGCTTTGGGGTGGTCTGAAAAAGAGAAAAAGGGTCAAGGACCACTGCATCCACTTCACCAGGGGTGATGGACGCCCAAGACTTTGCCCAAGCAAAGACGGTTGCCTGTCCTGTATTTACCTGAGATGAACATGCCTCAGAAATTACCATGAATCACATCTTGGGTTGATTCAGTAATGCAACGTGAAAAGCAAATAAGCTTGCCTGGGAGTAAGAGGAGCATCTCCTGTAAAGGTGTTGCTGGCGTCCACAGTGCCAGCTGCCTCTCGATTTCAATCGTTTATGCTTGGCGCACCGCGTCAAACAACTGCTCTACTGTCTCAGGATGAGGCAAAACATCCGCAGGCTGGTGAAACTGTGAAGAAATGAGGCCTCTTCTTGCTGCTGCTTCTTCTCTACGCATGCTGCGTCTAAAAGATCATCAGCGCTGGCCGTACACCCGGTTGATGAAAGAAACCGGACGGGCCATCGGAGGCCTTGCTCCCCAAAAAGGTGGGGGTGGTGGTTGATGCCCCGGTTGAAAACCTGGCGTAGCGGGAGGAGGTCCTTGATGCCCTCCTGCTGAAAAAACTCCAGGCGGCGCTGTTGGAGAATCGCTTCTCCGTCTTTTCGGAGAAGGATGTTGCCGATCGCGTCTTCTTGATCAGGCCCGTTCACGATGTTCGCCATGGTGCCTGGAGCGGGGGCTGCGCGTTGGGGCCCAAATCTTCAGGTCTGCCACCTTGCCTGTCACGATCTCGCGAACCAAGAATCTGCCTTGGCTTTTGTCACCCTCCAGGTTGCCGACAGAAGCATCTGAGAAGACCATCCATCTGCCTTGCTCCAACGGAATCGGGAGCACTCTCAGCCGCACATCACAGGTGCGCTTGAGTTCCTGGATAGTCTTGTTGGCGAACTTCAAGTGGCGGACTTTGGGCCCTTCCTTCCCCCACGCCATTGCGAGGGCGCAAGCTGCAGCAACGTCCGGCCGTGACTCTCGGCCGATCCACAACAGGGATCCTCCGGCTCCTCGAAGCAACGTGGTTCACGCTCATCAAGAACTCTGTCCTCGTCCTTGACCTTAAGCACAACTGGGCGTAGCTTCTCGTTGATGTATCTCTCCATGGAGATCTGTATCTCGAAGCTGTCCAGCTGATAGACAGTCCTGCCCAGATACTCGCCCGAACCTTTGTAGATGGTTCGCCACTTCCCGAATCGGAACCGGCCACGCAACTTCTCCATCAACTCACCATGTCGAGGATTTCCACCCTGAAGGAAGTCGTCGACGTCTAAAACCACAAGTCCAGCGCATCCTCGTCGTCGCTCGGGGTTCTCGTCCTCGGTGAAGGGAAGGTAGTAGAGGCAGGGGTCGAATGTGGACGCCTTGTAGCCCAACTCCGGCAAGAACTCTTCGAACAGTGTTTCGCCAAATGGCTGGAGCATTGACCAGGCCATAAACGGCGGTCAGAACCCGGATGATATAATCCTGGCTCTTCCCGGGATGCCACTTGGGGGCATAGTCGCAAAGAGTGGTCCTTTCTCCCGTTCATGGTGATCTGACGCCCAAACGCACTACTGACATCCATGATCACCAGCCCGTAGCGCACGCTGCTGAGGGTCTGAAATGCCAGGCACACAGTGGGAGTTGCCGGTGTCGGGGCATGCCTCTCGAGCTCCTGAGCATCACCTCGCCTTAGCTTTCCAGTTCTGCCCCAACTCTTGCTGCTTCTTGGTCAAGATGAAGCGTGAGGGCATGATCCGGCGACTGAAGGACTCCTTGATCTTCCGGATCTCTTCAAGGTCCGTCACGAAGCTGACGGCGCTGGATCCTTCGAGGTTCTCGATCTCCGTGAGCTTGGCCTCGGCAAACATCTTGCGCTCCTGTTCAGACAGGGTGCGTTCTTGGATTTCCTTGCCCGACTTCTTTGTGAGGCAAATCCATCCAGAATGCAGCTCGGAGTACGTGTAGAAGACGTCCGTCTTGACTAGCTTGCTAAAGGCTTGCAGGTCTCTGGCATTCGCTGTCACCGGAAACTTTCTCTTGTCTCCACGGTGTCACGTAGTCAGCAACCCACATGCCGCCGATCTTTGACTTCGGTTGGGGAGCTCCAGGGTGTCGTGCACCTTCTTCTCTCTTCTGACCCCGGTCGGTCGGAAAGCCTCCAATCCTCCTCCATGTTGTCACCACGACGAGCTTGTTCGGCGACCGCAACTCCATTCCAAAAGACCTGCTCATGGCCAAGGAGCGCTTGAGGTTCGATAGTGAGAAACTTGGATTTGTGGACGTGACGCAGGAGAATGTCGACGGCAGTGATCTTGGCAGATCACCCCTTGATGGATGTGAGGATCCACCGGCAGTTTTCGCACCCCCGCAAGGCGACGGAGCAGTTCCAAGCGAACCACCACTTCTTCCTAGAGAAGCAGCAGCAGGCGAACCACCTTCGGACGTCGAGGCCTACTCACAGACGAGCCTGAGCAACCACCGCAAGACAGAGCAGTTCCGAGCGAACCACCACTTCTTCCTGGGGCTCATCAACCACATGCACTACCAGCATCTGCAGGTGAGCCAACAGCGACTGGAACCAAGGCCAAGCCAGGAGGAGTACCGCTTCAGTCCCGCGAGCCACGAGGTCTACAAGCACCACCTGAACTAAACCAGCAGGACACGAACCCTCAGCGTCGTCAACGGCGCCGACACCGGTTGTTCCTCTCGAAGCTCGAGGTCAGTGGCCACAAGCAGTCGAGACCAAGAAGTGGACCCGCTACGACAACAACGCTGACAGGTTCAGGGTTTCGCGTAGCAAAGGCCTTGGACCTCCAATGGCCCCATCGCAGAGACTTGCGAAGCCTTACACTTCCACAATTCGCCACGCCTCGTTGTAGAGCCGGAGAAGACCTGGTTCTCCAACTGCCGCCGTGGTCTAGCGCGGTTGGGTCGTTGGATGCGCTCCTTGGCATCGAGCTCCATCAACGCCTTTCTCGCGGCGTCTTGTCCTGCATGACCGCCAGCTCGTAGTGCTTGTCGTCACTCGCGAGGTCCAAGGCCACCCGGGGCTGTCGTCCAAGAACACGTTGCGCCGGAGTAAAACCCGACCTGTTGATGCTCGTTTGGAGAGCCCAGGCCGATTCGAATATCAACAGCTCGACTTCGTCCATATCCCGAGGTTGTGCAATCTCACGACTCTTGTAGTAGATCTTGTTCAAGAGGTCGCCGCGCCTCTCGCATACGCCATTTTCCCATGGCGCCTCCTGATTGCACACAATCAGTTGTACGCACATCCTCTCAAGACCGCCCTGGAAGTCACTGCCGGTGAATTCCGTGCCCATATCGCACAGCAGGAAATCGGGTGGTCCAAACGTCCTGATCCACAGCCGCTCGAAAGCTTTGAGGGTGAGCTTTGCAGACCGACGCAGCGGATCGATCAGGCCGAACGTGGAGTACAAGGTTCCAAGGCACGTCACGTTTAGCACAGGATGCTCGGTCTTGTTGTCCAGACCGTGCACGAAGAGCACGTCGATCCCGATGACCACGTTGAAGTCGTAGCATCTCGGGGTAGCCGCCGGCAATCGCGTAGGAGGTCGTTGTTCGAGGTCACAACCAGCACATCGAAACTCACGCTGCATGTACTGGATGATGTCATTTCGGCAACCTGCTGCCTTCAGAAGACGGACGAACTCAGCTCGACCTGGATGTCCCACATTGACATGTGATCTGAGCACGGCTCGCTGCTCCTGCACGCTGAGTTCATGGCCCTCTGCAAGTACCAAGCTTTCAGGCTTGTCCCAGGCATAGAAGACCATGGCAGAGTTGGCTTCACAGACCTCCTTGTCCACAGGGCCCTGGCACTCTTTCTCGCACCACCTCCATTCATCATCCTCCCGCACCGCAGTCCAATGCAGCGCGCGATGTCCAGGTCCAACAGGATGAATCGGTACGCGCTGCGGATCCAAACAGAGCATGACCATGTAGCCCTGCTCCTCCATCCACTTGGCACGTTTGCCACTCTCGCGAAGCTCAATACTCTCGTCACGAAGTTGCTCAGGCGGAGGTAGTTGAGGTGGCCGAAGTGGTGGTCGTCCAGGCTGACCATCCTCCATGTAGATGTCCACGTAAAGGTTCACATGCTCCTGCTCACACGTGGCCCAGAAGCTCTCGTCACTCTCGCCGCCGGCGATGGCATCAATGCCTTTGATCAGGTCCTTCTTCACATTTCGACAAAGGGGGGTCGTGTCGGACATCCTCAAGCTCGTCCACGAAGTCCTGTTGGAACTCCTGGATCACATAGACCGTGACCTCCTCATCGCCGAGGTGGTAGTCAGTGGGGTGCTTCCGCGCAATGTCCAACACGTTAACCTCGCTTTCGTCGATGTTGAAGATCACCCTGGCAGACAAAGGAGACTTGATCATAGCATTCTTCACTGCCGGCACCTTCGCGCCGGTGAAGCTCCAGACATAGCTCCCGCTGGGGTCCACCATCGTCGCCAGCATGTCCATGCTTTCGTACGATAACCCGATCTCGTCAATCAAGTCCTCCTCGCCTAGGCCGCCGAAGCGTTCCCATTCTGCATCCACGAGTGCGTCCCGTCCGGGTTGTAGCCACCAGGGCCACCAGATCGAAGAAACGCCTGACATCAAGGTCTGATCCATGCACTTGGGGCACTTCCACGCCATCCGATCCCTCAGCCTGTGTGGTCGGAGAGCTTCCTGCTGACAGTTCAGGCAGAGCTTGATTTCGAAGCACAGATCCTGGCATCATCACGTCGCCTGGATCTGGTCTCTCTCGAACTCCCAGTCTCCCGCCGATTGTCAGGCGTCCCAATGCTGAACTCGCCCACGTCCATCTCGGCCGCTGTCCTGGCTTGCCGACCTCCGGGGGGGATGCTGAGGAGGAAGCTGGGGAATCTCCGTGATTGTTGGCGGCGCCACCGGTCCTTGGGATTGCTGGCCTGCCGCGGCCGCCGGTCTTGCCGAAGGGCTCGATGTCGAGGTTGCCGCGGTTCGCGCCGTAGGCGCCGCTGTACTCGTCGCCCTTCTGGTCATAGGTGCGTCGCGGATCGAGCTCGTCCCGGTACTCTTCGCGGCTTTCTTTGCTGCCTTCTCCTCCTTGATGCTTTGCGGGGTCTTGTAAGTCGGGGCTTGGTGCACCAGCGGTGTTCCACTCGGTCACGCGGTCCGGGGTCAGCTTCGGGATTTGTTCGATCGCGCCGCATTCCGAGCACTTGGTCCATGCCCAGTCCCGATTGCAGCCGTGGCTCTGGCGCCAAGTATTGGCTTCGTCCAATGTGTTGCACCATGGGCCGGCGCGTCCCAGCTTCGTCTCGAACAAGTGGGATCGTTGGGCCCTTGGATGAAGATGCCTTCCTTGAAGCTTCCAGTAGCTCGGCCTCCTTCTGTTGCATGCCCAGCACCTGCTTCTCCAAACGCTCCCGCCGAGCCGCCAAACGTCGGACGTCTCGAAGCTCCGGTAGCTGCACCACCAGCATCAACGAGTTGACAGCCTGCATCCAGACCGCCAATCGCAAGCGCAAGAAGAAGCGCCTCCAGCGGAACACGCATGTCGAGGGCATTGGTAAATCGAATTTGGTTGGGAAGAGGTCTCTCGGACCAAACTTGAGATCTCCCAAAGCTGGCGGAATCTGGCATGGAAAATCCTCTACCAAATTCTGTAATGCTGACCTCGACATGTCCTGTGTCACGCCTGTGCATGCGCTGCACCACTCCCTGACTGGTATGGAACATGTTCAGCCCTACCACGTCGATGCCACTGCCCATGTCTGTCAGAAGGTACGCGGGAAGCAAACAAGGAACTGGACAAGGAACAATCTGCACACGGAGAAGTCCGGAACAGCCGCCGATCCCAATAGGAATGTACGCGACTGGGGCTCCTCAGAGCCACAAACACGCCTGACCGTGCCACCATCCTCGTTTGTGTATTTGACCCTCATGCCAAAGGTGGTCATCAAATGTTGGTCCAGCTTTTCAAGCGTTGCTTGGCCAATCAACCCATGTTGTGCTGCTGTGTCCACCAACGCCCTCCCAGGAATCTCGATTGCTGTTGCAAAGTTGTACGATAGCAAGTTCCAGGACTTGTCGGGGTTGGCGGTAGGCTCGAAGAGCAGAGAAAGAAGCAATTGCTGATATCACTGCTGCGCGTGTCAACTGGACTTCCAGGCATGTATTGCTCTGCGCTCGGACCGGGTGCGCTCAAGGTCATGTAACCTGCGGCACTTGTCGCCGAAAGTTCAACGAAGAACATGGTCGTGGGCCTGGCCGCCGGACTGCCTGGCGCTTCCGCTCTGAGGTCTGCTTTGCTGCCTCGCCTTCAGCTGGCAATTCCTTGACCAGTGGCCAATCTGCAAAGTAGGTGGCGGCAGACTCCTCATCGTCCCAGTCTTCTGCCCAGTAGGACCGCGTCGGGGCCTCCTTCCGAATGGCAACCTCCACCTTCCGATAGTCGATGCTGCCGTCGGTCAAGACGCGAATCCTCTGCTGCTGGTGCTTGGTGAAGCCCCCCTGCTTAAGAAGGAGGTGTCCGAGCAAGTGGTTGCCAGCATCCGTCTCCAGGAGGTCCAAGCCTTGCTTCTTGAGTTCCGAGAAAGCTGCTTTCTTGGGTGCCAGGAAGCCGGCGATGCCCACACCGCCGCTTTCCTTTGAAGATGGCCGCCTCAAAAGCTTGCTCGAGCCTTGCTTCCTTCAAGTAGGCGGGGGACTCCTCAATGATGCCGATGATCCGCTTGTAGCCGTCTGGCGAAAGTAGCGCCGCCAGCCTGCTGCCAAAGGGAACGGCGTCGATGATCCGCTCGCCTATCAAGTTGGCCGGCAAGCGCGCCTCCGCCTCAATGAGCCATAACCTCAGGTTCCGTGCATACTCACGGTACTCGCTCTCGGGGTGCTCTCCATTCCAGGCCGGGGCAGGATCCATCTTGTAGTCGACGAACCGTCTTGCCTGGCCCTCATCAGAGCCACCCAGCCCTCTTCTGCCATACGGCGGTGCGCCGCTCGGTGATCTTGGTCGCACAGGTGACGCTGATCCAAAATCGCCTGCTCCTGAGCGCTGAGCGCGCGCTCCTCGTCCTTAGCCATTCTCCGTAGTCACCTGCAACGGCGTCCACAAAACCTTTCCAAGAACTCGCCTTGGAAAGCCAAAGCTGCACTTCACAGCTGCCCCCTCCAGTCCCCAAATGACTGGTTTTCCAAAAGTCAGCGGTCAGCAGGCCAAAGCCACAGAAACAGGTACATCACGAAGATGCACAGAACGAGGACGAAAGAAGGCCTTGCCGATGCGCAGAATCGGTATGAAGTCGCAGACGTCGATCGCCTGAAGCCAGGGCAGCAAGTCGCCCAGCGAAGCCAGGAGCAGCAGGATGCTCCAAGAAGGTCGCGGCCCTGGTCGTCACTAGAGCTCCGCTGCCATGCGTAACCGGGCACAGTAAAGCGAGCAATCGGGCTCCCTTGTTTTCCTGGACTCAAGCCGGCTTCGGGTGAAGTCAGGTCACGCTCTGTGCAACTGCATGCCCGACCAAGATGGATGCTTCTGCATGACCCTTTCAAAGGCGTACTCTGGGGAAAGTTCTGATCCGTTCCACACAAACACAAGAGCATACGGCGACTACAGCATCCATGCCCAAACCATAACAACGTCCGTGTTCCAAGAGCATACGGCGACTAGAGCATCCATGCCCAAACTGGACATGCGCTCGAAACCACCATGAAACACATCTTTTCATTTACACCTGCCGAGTGCGACGTGCTGAAACCGCGGTCGGTAACCACGACGGTACCAAGTTGAAGCTGTAAGGCGAAACTCTCCCACCCAGCATATTTTATCCAAACACAATGACAAAACAGCTCTTGATCGTCCTCCACATCCATGGAACAGTTTCCCGCATTAGCAACAGACTCCTGCGCCAACTCGTTCATCTCTGTCTCAGGAGCCCCGGGACCGGCACTCTCTGGCATGTCATCCTTTTGCGCCACTGCCAAGCCCGACATCTGGAGCCAGAGCAGGCTGACGAAATATCCACCTCTTGTAGCGACACGTCTGCGGCGAGTCCGCCCCTGGTCGAAGAGGAGATGGATACCCATTGTCCTCGAACAGATCCAAGTAACTCTTGACTCTGCGCACGGACAGAGGACTCCCAAAGCGGGAAGTTTTTGACGGACGCGTGCTTGGAGCGCCAAGTTCTCTTTCAACAAAATCCTCCAGCTGTTAGAATTTACAAACCACGAAATACTGCTAATTACTGCGAAGGTAGTCATTCGCGTCTTCCAACTCTGAAATTGGAAGACGCAACATCACTTGCTTTTGATGACGTTTGCAAATGCATATGCCTTTTCACAATGTCACTCATACAACGATTATGCATGTCTCACAAGCTGAGAAAATGCTGTCCCCGCCAGTACAAATGCAATGTTCCATATTCGCGCTCTACACACTTACGTACCTCGGAACTGGCCAGACAACACAGATGTCGCCTGACTGCAACACAAACCCCGGCAAACGTACTAAACGCGCCCTAGATCTGGATGTAGAAGCTGTACGCAATGTCATGATGTTTGTTCTGCTCTGTTGCTGAAGATAGCGCTTTTCAGTGACTCGCATGCATTACTTGAAGCATCCACTGTAAGTTTCAATCGTGCAGGAGGATGTTTGCACGGAGCTTTGCCGGTAGGAGTTTGTGCCCGTTAGTGCTTTCCTGCATTTGTTACATGTGCTTTGGCTCTGGCGTATCATTGCTCATGTAGTTTTTAACATGGCCGCGCTGCCTTGGAGTATGGAGTTACAGGAAAAGTTGGTTGCGAGGGCAGTGTCGTGTCTTGCCCGACGCTACGTTGAAATATCGTTCAGCATACCAGAAGCCGTTCAGAGCTTATCTGATAGTGAGTTTGAGAGTGAACGCTCTGCTGTAGATTCCGACAACGAGTCTGTGGATTCGGCTCCTCGCCAGCTTTGGTTTGCTGAAGATTATGTTGCGGGCAATCTAGTCGGACTTCGAGCTAGCTAGAGCGGAGAGTCGAGCTCCAGAATGCTCCGGAAATGCAGCTCAGCTTGGTCAGACATCGAACCGCAGCCCACGTTACAGCATACTTGTATTCGCTTGGCAAAATCTCTGTTTGGCAGCCGTGTTGCAGTTGTGGCTTCGAGCGTTTTGTCAGAGATTGTTGGAGATTGGTGCCTGATAGTAACGTATTTGGAAGAAGTGTCGCTGCACTGGCAGAGTGCGCAGAAGCTTACAGTGGGGGCGTGTGATTCATCCCGTTGTGCTGAGAGTTGGACACTGAGAGAGGCAGCTGTAGAGTTTCCCCACTCATGTTCTCTGCAACCAGGCTGATGTTTTGGTAGCAGCGTGCTGTCAACCGAGATGCGCTTGTTTGCTCGAGTAACTGCCTTTGCGCCTATCTTTTCTGAGGAAGGGGGTGCGTGTGTGTGAAAAGCTATGACTAAGAGCCTTAAGGAGTATAATGCAAGAGCCAAATGCAGGGGGCACAGGCCCATGGTGGGGAATCGGAGACTGATCACCTCCGTGTACCTGCAGACAAGTGACAAGTTCTCATCGATTCTTAAGCTGTGCATTTTGCCTTGTGGTTGCCGTTAGCACAATGTAACTATTACTACTCCAGAGTGGCTGTTGATGTGCGTAGTCAGTCTCTGTCAATGTGAGTTTGTGACAGGTACATGTGCTGTACGCAGTAAAACCTTCAGAGCAAAGATTTTCATGCAAACATGTCAGTCAGTTGGATGCAGCAGCTGTGTGCACACATGTCAGGTTTTTGAGCAAAGGCCCACATTTAACACTCACTGATCGGAGTTGCATGCACAAGCAAGCTGAGGGTTTCTGCAGACATTTCTGGCAGAAAGCCAGGCAACACACAAAACGCAACCTGATTGGTGACCTGCACAAGTGTGCGCGCGCTTTCTTGTGTTGGTGTGTTTGTGCGTGTGGAATTTGCTAGATTGGGAAGGCATGGAGACTGTCACATGCTGCAGGGCCATGCTTGTTTGCTCTCGCTATTGTTGTTGCTTTTGTAGTCGCTGTTGCTGGTGCTGTTTCTGTTGCTGTTGTTCTCGCTCTCTATCTCTCTCCCGGCGCACGCACCCGTCATAATGGCAATCCCCACTTGTGCCATGCCACGCTACCAACCCCAAGTAGGATCGCAAATCATTAGAAGGAGAGCAGCTTCGCCCATCCAAGCAAACCACCTTCCCCGCACCGCGTTGCCCCAGCTGGCACGCCACCAGGCCACGTTCTGGAGACGTAGCAGAATCTGCATCATCGCCAGTTCTGACCGGTCGCGCCAGTGCAACGCCGTGGCCAGATTGCGGAAGGCAACCCCTGTACTGCCAGAGCGGTCATGTGCTAGAGCAATGAATCGTTGCAAGCCGGCCAGCATCATTCCATGCGAGTAGTCCCTGTTCAGTCTGCAGCTAGCCACATGATGCATGTGTAGTTCAAGTTTTTGATGAAATAGCAGCCCAGATCGGATTGCGATTTTGTGATTTTGATAGCAAAGGCAGAAGGTCGCTTGCTTTGCTACTCCGACATGGCCACAGCAGGTTGCCAAGCACTGGTTGGCTGCAGGGCTTTGAATTCGAGGCTCAGATGGGATCTTGCCGCTTGAGTGCAATGGTTGGGACAGGTTCAATATCTGAGCAGGGTATTCACTCCAGAATCCAGAGGGAGGC